TTTAGTTTTAAATATTACAATTAGAATCAGTTTAGAATCATAATTTTTATGTTTAAATTGCGTAAGTAATTAGTGTAAATTGTAATTTTAAGTTAAATTTTAATTTCATTTTAATATCTTGGATTAAGGATTTACATTCCATAAAATTAAACATTAGACTTGTAATTTTAATTCTAAGAAAGCTTACGAACACCATTAAAATTCGAAAGTTTTATTCCAATATCATACCTCAATTGCATGCAAAGGACAATTTTAATATGAAAATATCAACACCTATAAATTCATTATTTTTCTCACGGCTACATTAAGTTATTGAAGTTTAAAATATGTTATTTCTATAACAATTCTTTATAACGAAACATAATAATAATTTTCTCTCTCTTTCTCTACCATATTACCCATTTAATTATTCCCTTCTATCTCTTATCTTTCTATCTCTCTCATTTGTAAGAACAAAACAATAATTTTGCTTTAATAATAACATTTTTCTTAAATTTTTATTTTAATGTTATGTGATTTATATTATTTATAGGCATGATTGGTCAATTTTAAAATTCGGTCTAATTATCATCTTAATATCTAAATATTTAAGTAGAATCAACTAGAATGCTTAGTATATTTAATATTTAATTTATTAAATGTCATTATATTTTATTAATTTGAATTACCATGACATTCTTCATACATTATGTTGTAAGTGATATTACAATGAAAACAAAGTTAAAGTATTTAGTGTGGAAAAGTTTATGCATTTTAAATATTTTCTAATTTAATTGTTAATTTTTAGAATGTGTTTGGACAAAATATTTTAAATGAGTGATTCAGTTTTTGAAATAGTTTACAATTTAATTACTTTATAAAAAAAATCTGAAGTGAAGAAAATTTAATTATTTTATCCAAACAAAATATTTTAAAATAAAAAAATTAAATAATGTAATTTAATTTTTTTAAATTTTAAAATCTTTTAAAAAAATTAATTTACCTATCCAAACACAACCCTAATTTTATTGAGATGATAATTAGTAATGATGTAAGAAAATATTACTGGAACTCGGTATATACCTAGAGAGTGATGCAATGGTCGCGAAAGGAGAACCAAGAACAAAGGAAGAAGAACATTAAGTTGAAGTTGAAAATGGTGATGACAAAAATGAAGAAGCTTAGATTTCACCTCACCCAACGTTAAAGCTACATGCGCATCTCACATTGTACTTAACCTGCATGCCTCATCAGCATTTTCATCAGCCTATTAACCGATTAGCCATTTCAGAAAAGAGAGAGATCTTGCTGCTAAGCATGGTGATCATCTCAAACTCTAATGTTTTTGGATATTGGAAATGAGGAATGTGTAAGAAATGTGTGCAGTCAATTGTGAACTCAATACTATTTTGTGTTAATACAATAATCATAAGAATATTTTTTACATTCACTAATAATTTTGTTCCAAAAATAATGATAATATGTAACTTGATGAGAAAATATATTTTTAGATTTCAGAAAAAGGAAATTCATTATAAATTAATTACTGTATATCATTGTAAACCATTGATGGTTATCCCTTGGGAATAGATGCCTCACAAACAATCAATATGTTAACTAAACTTATGTGAAAGACAAGATTTTGAGCAAATAAGCAATGTGTGGAGCACAACAGCTCCAAGTCAACTAAACTTAAATGTTGGAGCAAGACTTGTCTGCAATAAGCTAGGTACTGTGTGATGTACCATTTTATGTCTCTCTTTTTATCTATCGTAAAGATTAAAATACATTTCATGTTCAAGTGGCACGTTACATTTTTATTTGGCAAAAAGTGTAACATGCCACTTGAACGATGGCATTAGGAATATACAATGTAACGATTGATTTGTGTACGTACTTGTAACACCTAAAAATACTGCAAGTATAATCTTTACATACTAAGAACATGGTTTCGATATTATAATTTGATTCAGGATATCTAAGATTTATGATTTGGTTATGCAACGGATTCAACATGGGGATTTTGCTATAATAAAATAACACATGACAACCAAAATTAAATAAAAAAAGGGCTAAAATATAAGGAAAACGGAAAGGGATAATAGAATAGGAGCATCTAAATTTGAGTAGAGTTAAGATATAATGACATCCGATTGGTAAACTTGAAAACTTACATAATTTTATAACTTCTTATATAATGTGAAAGTGATGAATCCAATCATTAGTTTAATATTTTTTATTAAGTAAACAAACTTTATAAAATTTTATAAAAAAGAATAAAATTAATAAATACTTCGTTGCATACTTTATTTTAAGTGGTGTTGTATTTTAAAATGTACGTTAATATAAAACTTCGGATAACCTGTTAATGTTCAAAGCACGATTATCTAGAAACTCAATCGGTGACACCATAATCTCATATACAAAAAATCTAATATTTCAGAGTTGCTGCCCAAACTCAATCACTGATTTGTAACATTTATTTCAGTCAAATATAGATTAAAAAAATACGACAAACATAATGCTGATTTAAGAAAAATAAATAATAATTTACACACATGAACCAAAAGAGCTAGTTATATCAATAATCCAGGTAAAATATATATTCTAATAGAGGAAGTAAGATGATAAAAAATAAGTCAACACGTATTCTGTAAATTTGTACGGATTTTCTGTTATGATTGATAAAATTATTTGAAATTTCTTTATGTGAAATATGACAGTGAAGAAGTGCAGTCATGTGATAAACTGCATTTACTATACTAAACACACAAAAAGAAAAATAAAGGAACAACAGAAATAACTAAGGAAATACTACACACCAAAAATGACACTATACTAATGCACTTTATATCAATTTTGCCTAAAAAATAACAGATAATTTAGTTTGAAATTATTTCAGTATAATTAAATGAATTTGTATTATTCTTTTACTACTGCTATCCTATGTTACATGATAGCAATCCTCCTCCCAAAGGCAATCTTATGGTACACCATTCTACTGCTATCAGCTTTTCCTCATTTTACACGTCAGATATACGAAGCAAACAAGCAAGGTATGGTGTAATAGAAATGTTTTTCTACATGTTTATGGTGAACACCCGTTTTTTATGCGAATTAAGAAAGAGAGATGGAGATAATGCAAATATATATATATATATATAACTTATGATTCATTTTTTTATTTTTATCTGTCTTTTATTATAAGTAGAAACATTATACAGATACTTTATTATATGACTATTTTCTTTCTTTTTTCTTTATTTTTTTGTTTTTTTTGTTTGCGTGCTTTCTATTGCTTTTCTCTTCCTTCTTTGATTTTCTTTTCTTTTTGTCCTATGCATAAAATTCTCTATTTTTTATTATCTAATAAATCACTTAATGAAAGTAGATTCTGTTTTCATTCATTTCAAAATGTCTATGATCTCTTCCTCCTGAACCAAAGATGAATTTTTGGATTTATTTGACTCTCATACTCAATCACTTATGTTATAAGAAATTTTCTTATATTTTTTTTATGTAACGAGCCTATCCTCCTTGCTTCTCTATTTATATTAATAAAAAGGATTGAAAAATATTTAAAATGATTACCCATATATACAAGATCAAACTGACTTTTTTCAATTAAACATTCCAATTATTGATTTTTTAAAAGTAAAATATACAAATTAATTTTTTTAAATCCATAAAAAAATAAAAAAAAATGTTTTTTTAGTAAAAATATAAAAAATAATTTTTTAAATTTTGTTAAGTTGTTAAATCTTTCAAAAAATAAAATGTAAAAATTTTAGCATGTTAAATCACTTCTCAAAATAAAGTCCATCCTCTATTTTTGTAAAAGTCAGTTTTAGATGTTAAATCTGTTTTTAAAAGAACAAAAAATATATAAAATAATTAATATAATAAATAAATAAACATTTTTTTAGGTGATTACTCTTTTTTTTTCAAAATAAAATATAAAAAATATGTTTTCAAGTTATTAAGTTTTATTAGCTTTCAAATAAAAAAATAAAACATAAAAAATTATTTTTATAAAATTGCTTTGTTTTCAAAATAAAATATGATTTGTGATTAATGATTCATTTAAAATTTCAAATCTTATTTTTGTTTATGAGGATAACAACTTATACATGAGACTTATTTAAAAAATAATAAAAAATTAAAAAATTAAAAATAAAAATAAATATTTTAAGTTTATATTTAAAATTATTTGCACTATTTAATCTTAAGATAACATTCGTTCATCTGAAATGATAACGATACTCATACCTTCTTTATTAGTAATTGATTTTTGAACTTGAGACTATAAAGACTTTTCCAATATTTTGTCTTTATTCAAAATAAATAAAATTTTGGCAATCACAATTTTTTCAAATTAAAATCCTGATGTTTAAAGGCGCTATTTTTTACACCCACGAAGCAACATTTATAAAATCACGGGAGTTTAGCAAGGTAAAGAAGATATACTAAATGTAGGCAAAAATGACCTCAATTTTGAATGGAAAACTAGAGTGCCATTCATCAGCTGTTTGAATCAGGCCACATAATACCAAAACTTCCCCTCCCCCCACCAATGTATTCTATAGCCTTATAAAAACAGATTTGAAATGTTTAGAAGGTCATGAACAACTCTTAGGAATTGTGAAAATTATACAGGTAAAATTAACAAGGTTAGTACATGTATTTGTCATATGATACCCTTTGGCAAACAGATATTTGGACTATGGCCTGGGAAAATCCAAGTAGATTTACAAGCGTCTTGTTGTGCCAAATCGAACAAATATCTCTGTCAAATTCAACAACATGAAGCGGCAAATCAATATCACCAAAGGAGATTTACCTACCAACTATTGAGAAGAGAAAGACATCATCTCAACTAGTATTGAGTGGGTGCAAATTACTAGATTTTCGTTTTTTCAGTAAATTAAACTTTAAGTCATAATATTAACATACATTTATCAACATGAAGAGATGAATCATTTAATTGCTACTACAACAAAAAAAGTTGTTTACTTTACCTTTTAGTCTTGGGCTTGGAATCTCTTTTTCATTCGAGCCCTAAGAACAACTAGTCCTACACATATCCAGTCATTCATGTTGTGGAAGAATCGAAAATAGGCATGCCTCCATGAACTTTTTATAACCAAAGTTCCACAAACAGCCCAGAATCCAGCACAAAATCCTAATGACATGCTGACATAAAACCCAAGTGTTATGAATTCATCTTCATCTTTGTCATTTCTTTCAGTGCTTCTAGTCGGTGAAACACCATCCTCGGGGCATTGGTTTTGGAGCGGTGGAGCACAGAGCCCATTATTCCCAACATAAGTTGAAGAATCAAAGGACTGTAGTTGAGTACTTTCTGGAATTTTCCCTGACAAGTTGTTGAAAGACAGGTTCATGTAACTAAGGAAACTCAAATTTGAAAAGCTAATTGGCATTCTACCATAAAGATGGTTGAATGACAAATCAAGTGATTCCAACATTTGCATGTCACCGATGTTGTTGGGAATAAATCCTGTGATATTATTTGTAGAAAGATTTAAGCCAGCTAATCCCACAAGTGTTGTAATACTGTTGGGTATCTCTCCTGATAAGTGATTGCAAGAAAGATCAATAATTGTCATAAGTCCAAGAATTTTCCCATACTCTCTATTTTTTCCTTTCCATGCTAATATTGCTTCATCAATGAACAAGCGTGTTTGACCACTATCAAAGCCAACAGGTGCACTTGTGGAATAGAAAATTGTTTTTCTTGGAAACTTCAAATTTGACAAAGCAATTATGCAACTCAGGCATTGTGGTATTTTTCCTGTAATATTGTTTTTAAAGAGATCCAACACTTGAAGAAATGTCAGATTACACAGACTTGTAGGTATGCTTCCATGGAATTTATTTTCCCGCAGACGCAAAATAACCAATTGATGCAGGTTATGGCCTACCCATGCTGGTAATGTTCCTTGGAAATTGTTATCCCCAAAATCAATGACTTTCAAGCTGGTACAATTTATCAAAGATGGCATCTCACCGGAGAAGTTTTTGTTATTTAAATGAAGGGACTCAATTTGTCGTAAATTGCCAAGTGACTTGGGTAATCTCCCAGATAAATTATTTTTTGCCAAATTCAAGACTTGTAAGCTTTTAAATTTTTCCCAACAATCCGGAAGTGGTCCAGTTAATAAGTTACTAGACAAGTCAAGATAAGTTAAATACAACGGTGACAGTGAGCAAAGAGAAGACACAGAGCCAGTAAACATATTATTTGATAGAAAGAGGGAATATAGATCTGGAAAAAGAGGCAATGGACCAGACAAATTGTTGAACCTTAAATCCCATACACTCCAGGGTCTTGTTTTCATATGTAGCAATGATTTTGATAAGGTTCCAATAAGTTGGTTGTGTGAAACATTCAAGTATAGCAAACTTAAAGATAGGTTCCAAAACCATTCGGGAAATGAATCTGAAATACCACTATTGGATATTTGCAATGCAGTAAGTTCCCTTTGATGCTTTATCCACGCTGGAAATTTGGGACCCAAAATGCATGATGTTGTGTATAAGTAAGTCAGTTGGAAAGGTGGAACCCAATTGGAACTAAAGTCAAATGAAAGCGAATTTTGGGACACTTGCAAATATTCCAGTTTAGACAAGTTTGATAGATGAGACTCATTAATGACACCATTCAATTTGTTTGAAGTGATAGACAAACGTACAAGATTAGAAAGTTGTCCAATATTAATTGGAAGTGTCCCATTCAACTGATTGTTGGAAAGATCTAATTCTTGTAATGAAGCAAGTTTACCAACATCGAATGATGGCATTGATCCACTCAATTGGTTAAAACTGAGATCCAAAGCTTCAAGATGATCCGGCAAGTGACCAAATGATAATTCCCCAACAATATTGGTATTTGCAAGTGATAATGTATTCAAGGATGAAAGGCTTGAAAAATCAGGAAGTGACCCCCTACTGAATGGGTTAGAACTGAGATCCAACAACTCTAAACCATTTTGGGCAGAACACAGTTGTTGTACGTAGTCACTGAGTTGGCCAGACAAATGTTATAATCTAGGGACAAATCTTCAAGTTGACACAAAATTGGAAATTATTTTAGCATGCTACCATCCAACTCATTAAACGAGAGATGTAGATATTGAAGATGAGAAATCATGTTTGCAAAGCCATCTGGAATACTATGTTGCAAAGAATTATATGACAGATCAAGATGTGTCACAACTTTACTGACATTAAGAACCCATGACATAGTTGAAGCGTTTAAATCATTGTATGTAAGTTCTAGAATTCTGAGAGAAGTTGAATAGTTAATGTGGGGAATAAATTTAGGATTGACTTGACCAAGCCCACAGTCATCTAAATAAAGCTCTGACAAAGAAGGGATTTTGCTTATTGATGATAGTCAATTAACAGTTTGACTAAGATCAATATTTGACAAATCAAGGTATCTCAAATTAGAAAGATGAGAAACCCATTCAAGGTCATTTGCAACCAAATTATTAAGGCGAAGGCTAAGAGTTTGCAAATTTGAAAGGTTCCCCAAGGTATAAGGAACGATGCCAGCAAGATCATTTTGTGCGAGTTTCAACTCTATCAATTGACTTAGTGAATCAATGCACTTTGGGATTGTTCCTCTTAACTCATTCAAAGTGAGATCTAACAAAGTCAGATGTTGCAGTTTACATACGGAAGAATCGATCTTACCTCCAAGTGATAAATCTTGGAGATCCAACTTGGTTACATGGCCTGTCAAATTATTGCATGAAATTCCCTCCCATTTGCAACAATCTTCACCTTTCCATGAGTTAAGAAAGTTCCTTTCATCAATGAAACCATCTTTTAACTTGAGAAGAGCTTCCCTGTCTGGTGTGGCACACACTTCTTCGTAAAGGAGCTTTCAACACAGCAGAGAATGCTCACCAGAAAAACGATACACAACCTGCAGCAAAGCATGGTGATCAACTCGGACTCTTTTGGGAATGTTTTTGAATTTTAGAAATGAAAAACGTATAGGCAATGTGTCAACTGAATTATGAACACAAAATGTAGGTCATTTATAGACACGATGAATTGAAAGAAGCTAAATCATTATTGGTGATGTCCCTTGTGAATAGATGATTCCTTTCAATTATACTCAATAGATTCACTTGAGTCAACCAAACGAGAGTGAGTCAGTGAGGGGCATGACTTTTTTGGTAAAGTTGACAATTGTTTGATGAACTTTATGAACTTCCAACTAAACATGAGAGATGGAAAGACTTTCGAGCAACATGAGAACGGTTTGATGAACATTATTAACTTCAAGTCAACCAAATGTGAGAGATGACAAGACTTTCATGTAACAAGAAAACTGTTTGATGAACATTATTAACTTCAAGTCAACTAAATATGAGCAACGGCAAGACTTTTGTGCAACAAGGCAGTTGGGTGATGAACATCATGCATTCACAAGATGACACCTACAATCCCCTGTTCAGTCATATCTCAGAAAAGTGAAAATGGATAACATTGTGTAATGAAAGGAAACCTTAATCCTGTTGGCTGAATAAGGTGCAATTCAAAGGAAAAGACAACAAAAATCAACAAAACAATGAATGAGTTACATGATTGGTCCAACCTAATTCATTATGGGATATTACATTCGGCACCACCCTTTTTTATATTTGTACTGCTCTTTTTATTGTCACTTCTAGAATTTAAATTCTTAAATTGTCTTTCATATTTTTTGAAAATTAAATATGTAAGTTATTTACAAATCACTTTTAAAATTTAATTTCTTGAAGTGATATACAAATGACTACAAGAATTTATTTTTCAGAGGGTATCAAATTAATTTCAGAAATTAAATTTTGAAAGTCATTTATAAATCACTTCTAAAAATTTAATTTATTAATTAAAATTTGAGAAATTAAATTCCAAAAATGACAATAAAAGGAGCAGTGTCAATAACAAAATAGGGTAGCGTAAAAAGTAATATCTTTTCATTAATAAATTTATATTTTGGTCATAACCACGTTAAATTTAGAGTAAACTCTCAATTTTAGTTAAGCTGGCAAAGGTTTGCAGAATTTTCCTGTATCCACATATCTCTACAAATGAACTGGGTTTGATGCTTATTCAAATAAATATTCGTATAAAACTGCACGTTGAGTACTGTTATGTTGACATCAGAATGGGTTTAAATGCAAAACCACTTCTTTATAATCTTGCTCAATTAATTATGAGCTCTTGTTCTTAAACGAGAGAATCTTAAGAAGCTGTGTTAACTGAGAGCATTTTTAAGAGTTATTTTCTTTCTCGTTCATGTGAATTCTCTTGTATTTAGTAATTAGTTTTTTTTTTAATTCAGTATTCATTTAAATTTTAAATATACTTTTGCATATTAAATGTGAGTGATCATTCTTAAACGAGTGTGTTTTTAAGAACTTTCTTAAATGAGACTGTTTATAGGAGTTGTTCTCTTTCTCATTATGTCATGCGGAGGTTCTACTGCATCCAATATTTATTTCTTAATTTAAAAAATTCCCATCCCTTGAATTTTATATTCCAATTCAATGCAATCACTGAATCACAGGCTTCCTTTCTAACCACATGCTCAGAGAACCAAACCAATTACAAGTTCTCATCAAAAGAAAGAAATACACACATTAACAAGGTGATTTAGAAATGAACGCATAAATTAACAAAAAATCATTTCAATAAATCTCACAAAAAAGAAGTGCAGTCATGTGATAAAGTTCATTGACCATACTAAACACACAAAAAGGAAAAGAAAGAAATAACTGATGAAATACTACACACCAAAAATGACACTATACTAATGCACCTTATATCAATATTGCCCAAAAAATAACAGATAATTTAGCACACAAATTCTGCAGGATTATTTTAGCATAAATTAAATGCATCTGTATTATTCTTTTATTACAAGTTGAGACATATCATGCACATGCATGGAGGATACAATGTGAATGGTACAGGAGACCGCCATTCTACTGCTATCAACTTCTCCTTTGCTCTTTGCTTCGTCTCACCAGAATTTTAAGTATTACAACAGTTACAACTGAAATAAGAAATACATTTTTTTCTGTTTATGAATCGTGAAGCTTAGTGATGTATAAATGCAACGGAAACATAATCAAGAAAATAATATATAATAAATCTTAACTCTAAGTAGGAAAGATCACAGCTACTTAAGAAAAAGTAGAGTGCAATTCACCAATGATTAAATCTGGCCACACAATCCCAAATAACCTCCCAACTCCCATGTATTCTATTGCCTTCTAAAAGAAAATTTGAAATGTTCAAAAGCTCAAGAAGAACTCTTCGGAATTGAGATAATTAAATTCACAAGTATAGTAAGTATGACTGGCAAAAAGTCCTCTATATGACCACAACTAAGTTTTGAAACAATCCTTTATTAGCAAACTCTCTTCTCTTGTCAAAATAGAGCACAATTAAAAAGATTTTAGCAAGGAACTAGTTACGAACTTGTTGAAACAGAGAACAGAGCATGGACATTTACGAGCATTCCATGAGCTAGCAATACAAGTGTAGCTTCCCTTCCTTCATTTCAAAACTCTACACACATGTAAACTGCAAAAGAGAAATAAGAGACATGAAACAAGGTTATGCAAAAGAAATTAGAAAAAGAACTAAGGAGAGTGGGAATTACAAAATAAAAATGAAAATGAAGAAAAATGAGAAATGTGGAAATATAGTTATTAATTTGATTGGATTACGAGAGTAGTATTGACGATTGTTGAGACATGAGAATGATGAGATGATAGAAACAAAGATTCACTGAAACGAGAGAGGATAGAAGGATTACCTTTTAGGGGGAGGACCTGTTTACAAATATTTAAGTTAAAAGGATCAAAATTAATGAAAAATGTTGAATAATGACTTTTTATTTTGTTTTATTTATTTATTTGTTAATGAAAATCTTTATTTCATAATAATTTTATTTGTTTTCTATTTTTAGAAATAGTTTTTACTTTATAAACAAAATAAAACAAAAGTTATTTATTAACATAAGTTTTATTTTCATTTTTTCTTAAAAACAATTTTTTAAAATTATTTTAAAATATAATTTTTAAAATTTAAAAAGAAAAATAGAAACAAACAAGCTCATATATATAAAGTGAATATGTAAAAAATAAAATTCAGAAGAGAATTGATTTTCCTTCTTTATCTGTTAATGTTATCTAGTTTTTACTAATTTGTTGTTACTATTTTTTTTTCTAAGTTTTTAATAACTTTTTATTGTAACTTTAAATATTTTATATAAATCGGAATGCCATTAAACTGATAAATACTATATATATATAAAGTAGGACTTTAGGCTTCTAATTCTTTTTTAATTTTAATATATTTTTAAAAATTAAAAAAAATAAATTTAAAAATAATTTTTAATTTAAATATTTTAAGTAATTATTAACTTTTTATTGATATTAAAAATAATATTTAATGAGCCGTCACTCTTAACTAATAGATAATAAATGTTTTTTAGTTTATTTTTTTAAAAAAATATTTGAATAAAAAAATTAAATAATTTTTTACTTTTTTATTTAATTGCAACTTCTTTCTTCTTCTTTTCTTTAACTATTCTTTTTCTTTTTTTCTTGTTCAATTTTACTTTAATTTGTATTTTTTTACTAACAACAACCTCAGGAAGGAATAAAAAGAGAATATTCATAATGCAAGTGGAGGAAATAGCAAATCTTCTATTTTTCTAACGCAGAGATACTCATACGAAGCCTTCTATATTTCCAACATACAAGCACTGGTACAAGAGTCTTCCCTCCACGACTCAACCTCCATTATTCATATCTACCAAACAGTATTTCACAGTTTCTCTGTAAAACTGTCACTTTTGGAGGCGAAGTTTATTTTCTCGACAATCAGATTTTATTGTTTTAATTTAGTCTTATTTTATATATTTATATTTCATACTTTTTTTACTAGAATATTTCGTACTTTATATATTATAATTTTTAAATTCATATAAAAATATAAATGTCAACCAGAAAATATGAATCAAGCCATTCAAAACTTCAGAAAAAGAGAAGAGTTAAGGCTTTAATTGAATCACAAAAAGCAACTATGAATAAATTTATAAAAATAAACAAGAAAAACGAATTAGAAAACACGTGCGGATGCTATTTGAATGAACAAGATAACAATAAAGATATAGGTGAAAACAACAATAGAAAAATCGGTAGTGAAAAGGATAATTTTGATTCTCAA